TTTTGACGGAGGCTCCCGGGCGAACCCTGAAAGACAAGGGCTATGAATGATGCACCTCTGGCGACGCTTCCATCAATTGATTAAGTATGAGGTCAGGTCGGCGCGCCTAGAACTCGTGCGGTGGATATCCAGCCTCCTTCCCTCTCGTTACGGCGGCAGCTCCCAGCTCCCAGCAGCATCAAGCTCCCTCCCAGTCCAGCATCTCCCAACCCGAGTTTTGGCGGCCGCCAGACCTCGCGGCGCACTGGCTGGGTCATCGCTGCCTTCCGTACGGTGATGCTCGACTCGCTATTTCGTCCGCCTTGCTTTCTGGCTTTGAGTTACTCTGGTATATCTCGTCTCAACCAGTCTGGATTGTCCTTTTAAGCCGGGACAGCGTCTCTATGATCTAAACGGATGTGGCCGAGGACGTTGGTTACACTTTTCTGCTGTTTACTCTGCTGTACTCTCCGTCAATCTGCAGTGCAGTGACCAGCGTCAAGTGTACATGCCTCTCTGCGTCCGCCGTCTCTCTTGTCAGCGATTCTCATCTCCATAGTATTTGAGCCACCTTACTCACTACCGTTCAAACCTCGCATCTCCTGCCGCAGCGTTCCTCCAACCAACAAGGAGGGAAAGACACGGGGGAAAAAGACAGCAACCGCATCCGCCAACATTCCTGCCTCCCGACCTACTTACGCCGTACCTTCCTTCCCTACCTACGTACCTTACCTACGTCCATACCTTACCTACCTTACCTACTCACGCCCACTAAGGTACCACATACCTTACCCGGACGAAGGCCCTGCAGAAAAAGGTGACCCAATCCCGCCGTATCATCGCTTGACCCTGACTTTCGTCCCCCGCTCCTTCCCCCCTCCACTCCTTCGTCACCACGACCCCTCCACCGTCCGCCCCTCCTCTTGGGCAGTACAACGTCTGCCCGCAGCAACGTCCCACGCAGGCCTTGCAGTAACATTTCCGGCATCAGTAAGGGTCGCCCGCTGCCGCAAGAGCAGGGGAAGAAGCAGAAGCAGAAGCACCGCAACCAGGACCAGGACCAGGACAAGGACCGAAACTACCACAGCATCAGCATCAGCAGTTGCAGCAGCAGCAGCAGTTGCAGCAGCAGCAGCAGTAGCAGCGCTTTCTCTCCAGACCCGTCGGCTTCCCAAGGCTTGTCATCCGGCTTAGTTGGACTCGTGAGCCTGTCTCACTGAACTTCACCTCAACTCACCGTACCTACTTTACCGACGCATCTCAGTTGCTCACATCGTCCTCACCTGGCGCCTGACACCTGGCGCGCGTTTCCCAGCCGGAAGGTAAGGTCGCACGCATCTCTGCCTGCCCCCTCAGCACCCAGCACCCAGCACCCAGCACCCAGCACCCAGCACCTGCACCTGCAACTGCAACTGCAACTGCAACTGCAGCAGCTCCAACACCAAGACTCCCCAACCAAAATCGCGCTAGGGATCACTCCCATATTTGCCCTTGGCCTTTTTGAGAGATCATCTCCCCTCCTCTCGTGCCCCGGTCCTACTGCCCCGGCCGTCACGCCTTCTGCTTCTAATCAGCCGCCCAGGGCCCTCTCGACCCTGGCGTCTGGTGTACCTTTTTATTTTTATTTTATTTTTTACCTCAACTCAGGCGCTCAACGGCACTCGCTCAACCCGCCTGCCCATTCACCTTTCACCTCTCACCTCCCAGTGACCTTGACCTTGATCCTCATCTTCGTCCTGGAGGTGAGGGTGGCTGCTGCAACTGGATACCCTAGACGGCGCTTCTTATTGCTCTTGTCGTTGTCGCGTGCCCGTATTGCTACACTTGACATTTTGGGAGATTTCTCTTTTGTCAACCCTGAACGCTTCTCTTTTTGCCCGCCTCCCTGATACACATCATAGTCACCTCACCCTCGCCCGCAAACTTCTTACATCACTTCTTCAACCTCACCTAACAGCCGCATCTCTCAGGTTCCTTCACCTTAATTCAGCTGCAACCTCCTCGCGCCTAAGCAAAAGCCGAAGACGAACTACAAGCCCTGCCGCTACTTGATCTTCCTTTTCCAGAAGGTACAGTCCTGTCCTCTCCCGCCATGGGCCATCTCGCTGCTAACCCAGCAAGTCCAGGTACTTCGCAGTCACCAACGCAACCCCACCACGCAGCTCTTCCCCTCCAAAAAGTCCACCTACCCACATCACTCACTGCATCCCCCGCCGAAAAATTATTAGACACCTCGGAAGCCCTACCTGCTTTTTTGCCTACCTTACACCTTGCCTCGCCTTACCTTAGCAGAGCAGACAAACTCGTCTTATATGCGCACCCGACCAGAATCGGACCCGACTTCCAGCTTACCCTTTCCTACTCTAGCTCGCCCAAACAACTGCTCGCTGTATCCAATCCTCACTCCCGGACCCTTTTCATCGTTCATCTGTAAGTAATTTGTCGTGCCCTTCTCTCCCGCTTTCGCTTGCTTTTGCTTCTGCGGCGGCTGTATTGTCTCTGCGTTGTCCCCTTCCTCCCCTCCATCCGAATACCCACACTCAGCTGCACATGCCCTTGTTGCGGTATATCTCATTCATCATCACCCGCAGCTCCAACAATCATTGATGCTGCTTTCCCTTACCCGGCACAACAGAAAACAAATCATACCCAGCGTTACCCTTCCTCGCCCCCAGGGACCGGGCGCAGATATTCCCAAGCCTTCATTCCCATCCCGCAATCCACATCACACCACACACATCCATCCATCGTGGGATCCACCCTTGGACTGAACCTCCTTAGTTGCCTCGGGCTCTCTAACCAAATCTTCGCTTCAGTAGCTCCTCCGTGTCTCCGTGCTGCCACCAGTCACACTTGAGTGTCACTCTCGGTCACTCTTACCCCTCTAGAGCCTTTATCCGCTCTGTTGTCAACTCCTGCCTGATCACCAAACAAGAAAGAAACCAGTCTAACAAAATAAACACAAATCGCCAAAATGCCTGCCTCTGAGGACAAAGTACGTGAGCAACCATCAAAGGAAAAAATGTTGTGGTCATGCGGCGGTTTGGACTGTGAGGGCTAACGTGGGGTGTTGGGCACAGAGCGATGACGGTCCCCTCAGCACCACCGACTTTGGCGACGCGATTGACTCGGTCACCTTCGGTCAGATCCTGGAGATGGACGATAGCGAGGATGATCGCGAATTCAGCCAGTCAATCGTCTTTGGCTTCTTCGAGCAAGCAGAAGAAACTTTTGAGTCGATGGACTCGGCTTTGTGAGTCGCATCATCACCGCCCGCCCTCACCTTTTGTCCCCCACTACCCATCCTTCCCCCCTCTTCTTCGTTTAGCCCCCCCTTACCCGCGGCCCAACGGTTTTCCGTGGGCCTTGGGCTGGTCCAAATATGCTCCTGGACAACGCTGACTCTCATCTCTTGTCAACGCAGAGAGGAAAAGGACCTCGAGAAGCTGTCGCAATTGGGTCACTTCCTCAAGGGCTCATCGGCCACGCTCGGCCTCGTCAAGGTTAGAGACAGTTGCGAGAAGATCCAGCGTTACGGCAAGAAGGAGAACGAGGATGGCACCCCGGAGAAGGATGAGAAGCTGTGTCTGGAACGTATTACCGAGACGCTCGAGGCGCTCAAGACGGAGTACGAGGACGCCGAGAAGGTTCTGAAGAAGTTCTACAACACCACCGACGCCTAAAGCCGACACACGACTCCCAACGACGTCGCGCTCCACGTCGCGGAATCAGCCGCACCGTCTCCAGCATTAGAAACGATGGCTACGACGACGGCAAGGACGTGGAACAAAAGGGACGGTCTTGCCCTTCCCGAAAAGACCTACAGCTCTTCGACCCATCTTGGACCTTGGATGCTTTGCTCACGAACCTACTTCTCCTCATACCCCTCCCCTACCTTTACGTTTCTGAATGATGAAGAAAAAAAAATGGAATTTTTGCATGGAAACCTGGACTTGATCTGCGCGGAAGGCCCTCAACACTGCTTGGGGCAGCCGAAAGAATAGTCGGATGGCCGAGGTAGTCTACTGGAACAACAAGGTTGTTCTCAATACCTGTTCCCTGGGTTGTTCCATCTGCACCTACTATAGTCCCCAATTAACAGCATGCATATTGCGGTCTTTACCACTTCTGCTGGATAGATTGGCAGCAGCATAACTTGTGTTTTGATAGGCAATGCAAAGCGTTTCGGCCGATATCAGAGGCTGTCATCCACACAGACAATAAAGATGCGTTATGAAAATATCACCAGGTCAAACACTTAAAAAGTTGAACCCGAAAAAAAGAATCCCGTTGACATCTTTTTGTTGGTCATTAGAAGGCATTAGACATATCGGATTTATTGATTGCTTCGCCATAGCCCTAGCCACAGGGGTTTCGCTGACATCAGGCTTCCATCCCGAGTTCCAAGTGCGGGCAGCGGGGAACCCGCCAAAATTCTCCCGAGCGTCACCTTTCAGCCTTGACCGGGCTGACATCATCGCGAGCTGTGACGAAGCCCAGGCGAGAGATCGACAAATTGACGCCATAGCCTGATTCTGGTACGTCTCGACGTTTCTCCAAACTTATGGGGCCCTTCCGAGCGGTCGGTTCGGTGGCTGTGCGGACTTTGGGGGAGATAGCTGCCTCCCCAAGCCCAGCGGCAAGCCTGCCGGCCGAGTTTCTCTGTCTTTCGCCGTGGCAACTACCATTCCCATAGATCGTGATCTCTTGTTTCCCCGGGAGTCGCGGATGGAAACTGCACGGTCGACTAGGGACGCCAGTCTTCGGCCCGGGCCGTCGGGAGGCTCTTGCTGTCTCCGTTGACGGACCCTCGATTCTGTACTTTGTCACTTTCTCTAATATGGCTGGCAGGTTCCGGACATCATCTACACAGAACACCGTGAGCATCGTTGTATCGGTCCTAAGGTTCTGAGTTGGTCAACTACGCGAGGCAGATGACATTGCACCGAAACCTGGAAAGAGCCTCTCAGACGCCAAGATCATAGTCATACTCCCTGACCACGTCGGCCTCGACATTCGTAATGCCTCCTCGACCTCCTCCACGCACTTCACCTACGCACTTTCTGTGCATACCCCTCGTCACCGCCTCTTCCCGTCCCCAGCTGTCGAAAAGCCTGGCATCCTTTAGAGCAGATGTCACTAGCCCGGACAGCTTCGCCATTCCTTCCGACGCCGTCCGACCCCTCGGCACTCTCCACCTCACCCTCGGTGTGATGAGCTTCCCCAAAAACGAAGGCGTCGAGAAGGCCGTCGAAGTACTTGAGTCGCTGAAGCCGCGAGAGATTCTATCCACCGTCAAGCCCCTCTCCTCCATCACCCCCTTGGCCGGGCCAGCCTCCTCGACCCCTGAGAAGTCTCTCTCCCTCACCCTCCGCGGTCTCCATTCCATCCAGCCTGTTCAGAAAGCCACGGTCCTGTACGCGCCGCCGATCGACCCTGACGGTGTCTTTCGTGGCTTTTGCGAGAAGTTGAGGGGAGTCTTCCAAGAGGCTGAGGTGATGGACAAGGAAGACCGGCCGTTGCTGCTGCATGCCACCATCGTGAACACCATCTACGTCAAGGGCGGCAGGGGCAAGAAGGGGCCGAGGATGACCATCGATGCGAGAGATATACTTGACCGGTACGATGACTACGTGTGGATGGAGGACGTGCCGGTGGAAAAGATTGCCATCTGTCGTATGGGGGCCAAGCAGATTGAGGGTGCAGACGATCAGGAATACGAGGTTGAGGCCGAGATCGACTTTTAGGGACGAGATATGGTTCTGGACGAAGATCTAGAAACATTATACCTCCTTAACTAGCTATGTGCCGAACGGTCTCATATAAGGAGCAGGTCTTAGGGGCACACCCGAGTTGAATAATTAGTAGACTAGGTACTTCAGTCAAACTGATATCGCCATGTCGGCGCCATCAGGTCCAATTGTAGAAGTAGGGTGCTTTGGGGCAGTGTTACGCCAGATTCGACCTCTATTTCTAACTCTATGTTGACACAGTTCGAGACATGCTGCAAGTGCAGTTCACGTTTAATACCGAAATGGAAGGGGTGAATGTCCAAGACCGGGCCAAAACACACGATTGCTGTAAGGAACCTTGGCACGGTAACAAACACCGCTTCCAGGAAATGACAGGAAGACCTCAGAGCAGCATCATTTCCACTCCCAGGGCAATATACTGTAAAATCGTCTCATACCGGCCCTTGTTATTGTCCCTCCATGTCTCTCTGTGGTGCTTCAGATGAACCGCCAGGATACTCCAAAGGAGATTGCAGTGAAGCTGCAGGGGTCTGAATGGACGCGCATCACCACAGGGCTCCCTAGGCCACCTAACCGCACCGCCAGCCCCCACGACTGACAGCCCCGAGCACGCGGCCACAAGCCGCCGGGCCGCTAAAAATACGGCCCCGGCGGGGTCCAGTGACGGCGGGCTCTACCTGGGTTACAGACAATGGAGCCCCCAACTTAGCGAGCATCCCCGCTCTCGCCCCCAACACGCCGGACGAATACGTACGCCCCCCGTCAAGGTCTGCCTTACCTAAACCCACTGTGTAGCGACCTCCGCCGGTTGCTTGCGACGACACTCTCCAGCCCAGCTCAGCCCGACACGAGAGACAGAGGGATACACAGAGTGGTATCTCTCCTCTCTCGCCATTTAAGAGAGCAGGCGCCAGACGACTTTTGCCTCCTGCAGGCAACCCGACGAAGTTCTCCTCCCCTCAACCATCGTGGCCGCTCTCCCCTCCCCCCACCTCTAGGCAACAAACGAAAGCTCCAAGCGGGGGGATAGAGAGACAATCCTCCTCCCCCTCCATCGCGAACTCCCCCGCCCTTCGATTTCCTACACAACATGCAGCAGCACCGCATCCGAAGCCGCATGCTCCTCCTCCCCCTTCTGTCCCGCCGTTCCCATGACGAAAGATAAGAAGCTGCTCCGGATGTCCGACAAGCGCCGCCCCGGCGGCAGTGTCAGCAACACGAGCAGCGGCAGTAATACCGGGAGCGGTAGCAGCAACAACACCACGGGAGGCTCGACTGCTGGATCGAAAGGAGGATCGAACACACACTCGCTGCACACGACGAGCTCGCGGAGCCCCGGCTCAGGCGCCGCGGCGAGCATCATCGCGCCGCCGCCCCGCGCACACCATGCGCCCACGAGCTCAGCTGTGCCCGACGAGGGCGGCAGCTCCCGCGAGTCAGGGAAAGATGCAAAGGATAAGGAGTCCAGGTCAACGAAAGATACCCCCAGCACAGGAAGCGCCGCCAACACCAGCAGCGGCAGCGGCAGTACGGCATTGATCAAAGACAAGGATGCTCGTATAGCAAAGCTCGAGCGCGAGCTCGAGATAATGGAACAAGAGTTCACGAGGGAGCTCGACAAGCTCTCCCAGGCCGAGAGCGAAACGGCGGTCTACTGGCAGGCGAAGCACAGCGAGCTGAACGAGCAGTTCCTGCGAGCCGACGCGGATCTCAGGATACTGAGGCAGGAGGCCGAGCACCGCGACGCGGACCGCGACGCCTTGCGACGAGAGGTCGGGGAGCTGAGGGCGCAGGTCAGGGGGTTGAAGGAGTTTGTGAGCACGAGCACGCGGACGAACGGGCAGACGTCCGACGAGGTCTTTTGCGAAGGCATGATGAGGCTGGGCAACGGCTTGCAGAACTGGATCATTGTCCACTTTCGGAGGGCGAAGCTAGGTGTGTTTCTTTCCCTTTTGGAAGCTGTGCGACTTGAGAGCGTGGAGACTGACCGAGCGCAGATGTTGCTGCCGCCAGCGAAGAGATCCGCGACGAGCTGGGTCGTTTGGTGCCCATGTACGCGGACCTGGAAACATCGGCAAAGGTGCACATGCTACAGTCCATCGTGTCGCGGGTCCTCATGGATGTCATCTTTGAGAACTGCTTCTTCGGGTTGCCCAAAGAGCAGGCGGACAAGTTTAGGGCGATGGAGGAGACCTTGTCGAGCTACGGTTCGTCACTTGCGCCGCTGGCCTAACGAGGGGAGGTGCTGACAGAAAAGCTTTAGTGGACGACGCGGAAGCACTCAACAGCTGGCGGTCCTCGACGCTGGCGCTTTTCCAGCGTGAGGCGGAGACGAAGATGCAGGCAGAAACGGCGGCATCGACAGACGGCGTCATCGCCCGCGTGAACGGCATCCTCGACGCCGTCACCGACGCCAAGGCCACCGAAGCCCGCGACACGGCCCTCCGGACCCTAGTCGGCAGCGCGGTGGACCTGTCGCGGCAGCTCGCGGTCCAAAAAGCCGTCTTCCGGATCCACATGCCCGACATCGTCCCGGGCCAGGAGACCAAGTTCGACCCCGCAACCATGGAGGACATTGGCGGCGAGGATGAGGAAGCTCTCGCGGGGCGCAACATTTCCTGCGTCACCTTTCCCGGCGTCATCAAGCGCGGGGACGAGAACGGCGGGCACATGCAATACCAGAATATCATTGCCAAGGCTAGGGTACTTTGTAGTCCCGAATGATGATGAAAAAGCTGTAGTCACCCACCATCCCTTTTGGCGTATATCGTCCAATCCTCCTCCATAATGATAATGATACTGATGGCCCACGTTTACGCACCGGCGCCCATGACAGAAAGTGCACATTTGTAGCCCATCTGCCGTTATCATACTTTCCCTCCTCTATCAGCCATGGCCGCCGGCGAACACCCCCTCCACACCTAGCATTCATATGACGACTTACCGCTTCTCCCCCCCTAGTCTCCCGCCGCGGCCTAAGCCGACGCCGTTGCCGCATTTCGTATCCCGTCCATCACAAACTCACAGCTTCCCAAACACCCATGAGCGGATGGGATAACGACCCCGGTATTGCCGACCAATCGACGCGGGGTGCCCACCCCAAGAGACATGCAGCGCCAACGACCTGCAGCTCCCACGCCCGAATCCACAAGAACAAGTGTGGAGCGGGGTTGGTGGTCGGGACGGATCTCCCTCTTCTCTCCCTACAGCACCACCTCACCTGTCGATTCAATCTGGGTCCTCACCCCGACTGCTCAGCGGTGGAGGGGGAGCATGAACGAGGAAGGATCGTGCGGCTCTGCTGGACTTTGCAGAGCGATCTTTCCGGGTCTATGGCAGCCCCCAAAACTTGCAGGCTCTTCGGGTCACCTACCACGTTGTACCCAGGGTGACTGCAGCACCTGATACTCGTGGGTTTTCTGATGAGAGTCAGCCATGCGATTCCAACCGCCAGCGAAGGCAGACACTATTGGAATCCACCGCCTAAAAAGGGACAAATTTTCGAGCCACGTTCACTCATGGAAGGGATTCCCTTGATTCGATGTTAGCAATTCGACCCCTTTTCTGCAATCGTTGGTCCAGAGTCTGTGAGGGAGACTTCTCCCGGCGTTCCGTCATGTATCACCGCAGGCGCCGCGCAGCAGCTCGCCTGCTCTGTCTCTACCAACAAACCCCCGCTCTGCCTGTCTCTCTTTCCACCCTGGCAACTGTCCATACACGTGTACACCGCATAGTGGGTGGCTCACGCAACGATTCTCCTGGACCAATTCGGGGAAGATGCCCTTGATGAGAGCTCGGGCGACCCCCGTGCGGGTTTCTCTGTACAACATCAAGGGACTGTGCATTTGGAGATCCTTAGCCCTATGCTGTCACAAGTGCAGCTGATCGGACGGCAGCTCCGATGGTCCATTGACCATCCACAAGATCGTCGATCTTTCTGCGGCGGGGACAAGCTCGGAGACGACATCAGACCGAGACGAACACCTTCCTGGAAGACGATCGCGGACCAAGGCCAAAGTCATGTCTGCTGACACTCTTCCTTTGACGTCGGTGAGTCAACGATACCGGCCGTGGGAGCTGATGCTGGCCTCGAGGGTGGTGTGGATAGCTAGCTAGTCCGCTGCTGCTATCCGCCCCGAAGGGTGAGGGTTCGTGCCGATGGCCATGGTTCGCATTCGGAAGGCCGCCGGCGAGGGGTTGCAAGCCGCTTAGGTCCTTGGTGCATGTAAGATTTCGGCCCATAAAGACTGACGCGTAACCCAAATCCGACGACGCAGAGGAGAAGACGAGACTTCCTCTCTCCTTTCCTCGTTCTTTTCTCTCCATTATTGTTGAGCTGGATCGTTCAGGAGGAAAACCCTCATCCGCCCGTTGAACGCTGGAACTTGGTTGTAGGGATCGAAGTGCAGGCACTTGGCTGCAGCATCCATCCCCTGTGAACATCCACTTCAGTCTTCCGGCATATTCCCCACCCACCCAACTTGAGTACCATCCTCTCTCGTCTTCGTGTCTCTCGTTGTCTCTTTCTTCGTCGCGTTTTCGCCCGTCGCGTCGACCCTCGGAGGTGGGACTCGTTGGCATCTATATTGTATGTATGGAGTTAGTGAGCTCCTCACCAGTTCCCTTCAGAAGGCGGAAGATGTCTGACGCTGTACAAGGCCCATCTCGTCAGCGACAGCAAACATTCGTTTTACTTCAGCGTCGATCCAACCTGTTCACCATGGAGAGACACAACTTCGGATACGGGTATCCGTATCCCTCCGCAGATCGTGACTCTACTCCTCGCTACGTTCCTCGAGCAGGGTCCACGTCCGTGACGTCTTCCACTTCTTGGCAGTCCAGCTCTGGCGGCAGCAACGATAGCGGCTATACCTATTCATCGGAATCTTCTGGACCATACAACAGTTATCGCATGCCCGGCAGCTACTCTGTATCGACTGCTCCGTCGGGCTTCACGGCGTTGAGCGCTATGCAACAGCAATTCAATGGGCAAACGACAACAATATCAAGCCCACGCCGGCTTGGTTGTGAATTCAAAGCCTGGACGGGCTGTCAGCGGTCGTTCGGACTTGAAGAGGACGAAATTGGCCAGTGGATACGCCATGTCGAGGATGACCATCTTGGGCGAAATTACCCAAGTCGTTGTATTTGCTGGTTTTGCGATGATGTCGAATTCCGCACCGAATTGCCCCATGATCCCGGCATGAACTTCGAGTACAGAATGAAGCACATCGCCGACCACGTCTTGGAAGGGCTCCATTTCGAGAACAGGAGACCCGACTTCCATTTCCTTGACCATGTGTACAGCATAGGGCTGATATCGTCCGAGGCATTCGCGCGAGCCAAAGGGCAGAGTGAAGGGCCGGCAGCACCAGCGGGTGTGCATCCGTCAGGCTTCAGACCAGCGGCGCGACAATCAAGACCCGAAGCAGTGGAGTATGTGTCGAACAGTAGTCGACGACGACAGAGAGATACCCGTCGTCATGCCTAAAAGGTATGTTGAACGTCTGGTAGTCAGTGTCTTTGTTCCGGGATGTGGGTAGGTGCGCTTGCTTGGATCTCGGAGCGGGCCGGTGTCGATCACTGAGCGGGGTGAGCCGGCAGTCTCCCGATTTGTCTATCTTTGGAGGCGTTGGTGCGAACCACAGTTCATCTGGTTTCCTTTCGGTTGATAAGCTTTTCCATTCCTCATCATCTTGTCACGCTGCACAAGGCAGTTCGTTCACCTCGGACGAAGGCAGTCGCAGAGGCCCGAGGGCCTGCCTGCCTGCCTGCCTGCCTACACCCCATGATGAATGCTCAGTCTTGTATACCTAGAGCCTGAAGACCTTCGCGAGGCCATAAAGGAGGACGCGTGCATCAAGACAAGGCACCGGCTTTGTGTAAGCCTGACTGGTGGCGACCCCGAGCGATGGTCGAGAGCGAAGTCGAGCAGCAGGGGACTCCCTCGGTGTTCTGCAGGAGATGGCCCCTCTGCCGGTGTGCCGAGGGCCACGAGCGGTCCGACTTTGCGATGGCCACGCTTACTTTTGCGAGATGCTTGGTATAAGTTTGGGCGAGTAAGTTATGGGTTCAGGACGTTTTTGTTTCTCGTGAAATTGGAGGACATGCGTCGTTTGTTGGGAGGAGGATCATGTGCTTACCTGGTAGGCAACAACGTGCACAAGGACCTTTCTCTACCGCATTCACTGCAGGGGTTTCTCTTTCCGGCTTCGTCTATGTTTTTAGTTTCGAATGGGCAAAGAGGGAAGGTGGCCGCTCTCCACTTTGGTCAGCGCAACCGAAGATGATAACAGACATACCTTACATGGGAACCAGACCTTCATAGCAAAACATTAACGACAATAAGTTTATGATGAATACTTGGCATGGCTGTGCTCCAGGTTCCTCGACTGCTCAGGCATCAGACTTGAGTAGCTGTCCACGTGTCATTTTATGTGTTTTGTCGGTTTGCCCAACACTCCCGATTACTTCGCCTTGCTGTGAAATCTTTCGCTAGGAGCCAATTATCGCTGCGGCTAGATTTTTGATGGAGTCTCCTCCCCCAATAGGCTTACTCCCATCCAAAACAGGGCTGTGGCAAGATGCGTGGCTCCCGACCTTTTTTCTCAACCACTGACTTACACGCTGCGCATGCACAGCCTCACTCGGCCCGCGCGGACGTCGAGTCCAGCTGAGCGACGAGAACTCAGGCACGAGGTATTGGTCCGGCGTCTCCGCTGAGGTAGTATCACCGTTGGCGTCGTAGAATGGGAATGTGATGTGAAAGAAGAAAAAATATGACCGTTGAGCATGGCACAGAACGTGTATTATGCAGGGTCGTCCGGGGTATTCGCCTTGTGAAATCCCAAAGCTGCTGTTGTTAGGCCTCGTTTTCGGGGATGATTGGCATGTTAAAGTTGCCGTCTATTCCCAATAAGGAGAAGAGGAGCACTGGCGGATGCATGTATCGGACGCGTCAATTGTGGCACAATGTGCTTCTTGCTTGGCGAGATATTGTGTTCTCGAGACTGGTTCCTCACGAACTGTATATAACAAAAGGGAGGCTTCAACCCCCGAGGCCCTCATTTCGAATTTCTTTCATGCCGAAACGCCCTCGTGCGAAATGCCTCTTTCGCGCCAATTACCCTTCATTATGTCTCATTCACCCTCAGTGGAACTCGGCGTCGACACGGCCATACCTGACGCCGTCCACCTTCAGCTCGAATCCCAGGCCAGCACTGTCGACAATCATCTCCAGTGTAAAGTCCAGATTGTCAAACTCCACGCCTCGTGTTGTTGTTAACCTTGTGAACAAGCTCCGTGGCACTGCTGCAAGATCTGTTGTAAGTGTGCATACGTGTATGAGGTCACGAGTGTATGCTGAGGGCGGTTCGTCTGCTTCGCATGCAATTAGATCGTCTGTCACCGTAAGGGACTGCCCAGGACGGAAGTTTCGAGTATAATGGAATGCGATAGGCTCCTGAGGTGATATTGCCTCGCCCTGCAATCGCATGTCGGTCAGTCGTCGGCCCCTCGGAGGGATGCTAAACACAGAGCACCAGAATTCAGACTCACCTTCGCAATGTGCCACTGCATGCGGTCCGACACCATCCACCGCTCCCACAGTGGTGACCAGTACCGCTCGCTGACCGAGTGTTTCTCTTCGTCGTACACGGTTGCGTATGATGTGCCGTAGTGGTACCGGGCTTTTCTCGATATCACCATGTTGCCCTCGAGTCCTCGCAGAACTGCTCCACGCACAACAGCCGTCCAGGCATACACAGGCTGCATCACTTCGATGGAAGCAGTCTCTTGCAGGGTGGTCATGGTTCCATGAGTCGGTCGTTCGGTGTAAGGTGGTGGTGCCGCGCTGTTGAAATGCGACTTCAGTCTCCGGTAGAGGTAGTCGCTCTGGCCGAACCCTCCGACTAACACGATCCCAGACACGACGCCGCCCGCTTGGCGAATACCATCTACCTGGCCCTGGACAAGATCGCAGACCTCTTTGACTACGGGCTCAAAAATTTCTTTGATCTCGGCGGCCGTCATGATCATAAACCCGCAGTCCAACCCGGCTTCTTCGTCGTCTGGTAACCCAGGGAATCTTGCCCGAGTTAGAATATTCCCTTTTTCGAGTGTGAGACGTAAACTTACGGTACGTTGACTTCTTGGTGCTCATCTTCGTTGAAGTTCCGCTTTACGAACTCTTCAAAATATCTGAGGCCCATCTGCCATGTTTTCTGTTTCTTGTGCATCATTTCGTCAAACCGAGTATGACCGAGCTTGTTCTTCACGTGCTCTTCGAATCTGTAGTTTAGGAATGCGCTTCCGCAAAGACCACCGGTTCCCACGGCAGACTCTTCGACCTTGAGCGGCTTGAGTGAAATAATTTTGTAGGCGATCAGACTACGATCGTCAGCAATGTTTGTGTGAACTCGTCTGCGCAAGACTTACTCGACAGTTCCGCCACCAGCATCACAGACAATGAAGTTGTCGCCAACGTTTAGGTGGTTTGGTTGGATGGCTTTCAGCGTGTAGACAGCCGCGGCTTCAGGTTCGCTGATCATTTGGATCTCCGACATGGACCCCATGCCGGCTCGTTCGGCAGCTTGCAAAGTCGTGTTCTTGGCCGCGTCTGACCACACCGCTGGACAGGTCAGGACAAACTCGACCTTGGTGGACGCCATGAAGGATTCGCCGTATCTTCGAGTTAGGGTGTCTATTGTGTGCTTGTAGACCTGTGTGAGATAGTCGCTAACGGCATCAAGGACATTCTTGTTGTAGCGTTTCAGCTGCGCGGCCGTTTCCAGTGGGCTCACGTAGAAAGGTAGCTTCTGTGAGCGGTCAAGGAAGAGTTTGATACACCGAAGGCGGGATTCCTCTGGCTTGAACTGGAAGCCCCATTTCACATTAGGTTTTGTGCCTTCGGGGGCATTCTGAGGAAAGTCATAGCTGATCTCGGTGGGCACCTTGTCCGAGGTGATGCCATTGCCGCCGGGCCATGTCTTGATGATTTCGACATCGTCTGGTGTTGACGTGTAGACGGCGGCGACGCTGAGCTGAAGTCAGCCAAAGTGACCAGGTTCAGGCACGACTGCCAGTGCAATGATGGTGTGGGTAGATCACCGCGAATGAGAACTGGCATCACGAAAGCGAAGGGCGCAAATAAAGGAAAAGGCATCTCATGAACATCATGACGGGCGTCGGGGCGTGTGCGACTCACCCTGAGAAAGTGGTTCCAAAATCGACGCCAACAATCAGTCGATCGGCCGGGCCGAACAGCTCACGTGGAGGAGCCTGTCGTTGCGGAGGGCCATTGACGGCTTCGGTGGAGGAGTTTGGCGTGAAGCTGGTGAAGTAACTGCTCCGGCTCGCTTGGTTCCGTAGACTGCTCGAGGCCGGCCGGAGGGGGAGATTGAAGCTCATGGCGGCAGTACCAGATCTGGATATCTGCTCACACCCATAATCCGCACAACGGGACCAGCGGCAGAGACAAAGCGAGCGGGACAAGCCCTCGCATGCGACCTTTGGCGAACCGACTGGGAAGATGGATCAGGGCGATGTGTCGTCGTTTCGTGATGTTGCGCAAAAAGCAAGAGTGCAGATCGTCTCTTCAGAACAGCAAGGCTACGGGACCATGATCGTGGGGGGAAGACGGTGGAGGAGGGGTTCGGTGGGAGGTGGGCGGTTCGGTGGCAGAAAAAAAGGAGGGAAAAGTGACAAGTTGAAGACGGCTTCGGGCCTGGAGCAAAGAGCAACGGCAACCGCCGACGATGACGACAAGTAACGACAGAAGGTCGGTTTCGACAGACACGAAGTCGGCTTGAGCCACGTCTGAAGTTTGGAAACGCGGTTTGGTGAGTAGAGTATTCTGCTGCCTAACGGATTTCCTGGTTTCCTTGGGATGAAGGAATGATGGCAGAAGACAGCGCTGGCTGGTCGAGCGTGTGAGCGTGTACCAGCAATGTACCCTGACGCTGCCAGGTGGTTGTTGGTGGTGGTGGTGAACCGCAAGAGGGGACGTCGGAGCGTCAGGCAGAGCAGCAGCAGCAGAGCGGGAGGAGCCAGTGCTGGCTCGCGACAGGGTGGGTGCAGTGCAGAGCAGTGACAGGGCAGGACACGGAACAGGCAGGCAAACACTGCCCCACGTCTCTACTAGTGTACCTTACCTCACGCCGCCTGTGAGGAGTTGGGTTGAGTTCCTAGGCTGGAAGACGAGCGCTTCCTTCCTGCTGGCTTCCTGAAGCTGGCTGGGCTGTGACTGTTTGAAGGCTGGAGCTGGAGCGCCCCAGGTAAAGGCTACTTGCTGTATCCGTACTGGCGCTGCGCTGATGAGGCGCAGGGCGAGCAGGGAAGGTTGGGGAAGGTCACTTGGACAAAGTACCGTGCCGATAAATGGCTGAGGTAAGCCACCACCAATTGGCCGATGATGCTCTTCGCTGCAGGTGAGTGAGATGCAGCGCTGCAACCTGACTGGGCTGGACAGGAGGGGAGGGGAACATGCACCAT